CCCTGACGGCAGCAAAATGCTGGCACTGCGGAGGGGACAACCACTATCAATGTGATTGCCCTGACAAAGGCAAAGCGCGTCCGTCGGGGAAGTCTCAAGCCATCGGGACCATAGTCGGTACAATCTACGGCCAGCTCCCAAGCGGTTTTCAAGTGACTTCAAACCGCTTTCCCAACTACACCGGCCGGAAGTCTCTAGCCCCCCCTACGAATGGTCAACATCGAGCACGCCAAATGGCCGACTACTACCGCCCCCGGTACAACAAGACCAACAACAGCCAGCATTCAAAACCTGGGGGGGTTACAGCGCAAGTCGTGGAGTTGGGCGCCTTGCCGGATGATTTGGATGATCTGAATTTTCGCACCATGTCGTTGGGCGAAGACATAGTGAGTGAACCAGTTATTTTTGATACCGGTGCCTCTCATGGGTTTACCGGTTCTAAACATCTCCTTCATTCTTTCCGCTATCTGTCAAAACCTATCCCGGTATCCGTAGCTACCAACGGTGATGGAGCTCAAATCACCGGAGTTGGGAACTTGAAGTTCCATGGCCCGAACGGCCACATCATTGTGTTACGTCATGTACTCTATTGTGAGCACGCGAGAACTACCCTCATATCAATGGCTGCTCTCAGGAAAGCTGACGCCCTGGTCATGTATGACAATAAAGAAGAGGCTTTTGAAATTTTTCAGCATGACGGGACACATCTGTTCGACTGCGGTTTTGAACCAAAGAAGAACAGATGGTGTTTACATTATCCGATGATCAGGTTGGACTGTCCTGATGCAGTCAATCCGACGCCTACGACTGCACTTGCCTGCTCCGTCGAGATGGACCGGAGCGATATTATTCCTACCTCGACTGAAATTTCTCCTAACACTCTAAATGTCTCTCCCACTTCTCAAGTTTCTCATCTTGTTTCTCCTTCTCATATTCATTCTGTCTCCACTGGATTTCTGCCTCGTTTGCTAAATGAAAATTCCACTGTGTCGATGTTTGCATCCAAGGCAATACCAGCCAGTGAGATATTCAAAGAGCCGGTTGGAAAGGCAGCTAATTTCCAATGGAAGCCAGAGAAGCTAACCAAAGAAGAAATGACCCTTCTATCCTGGCATTGCCTGTTTGGGCATGCAAGCTTGAGACATATCCGTTGCCTGATCAAGCTAAAGCTAGGACACGGTCTCCCAGTGGAATTACCTAAGGGGAAGATCCACTGTCCGGTTTGTGCTATCAGCAAGAGTACCCGTTTCAATCCTCTTGCTCCCTCTTTCAGACCAGTCAAAAGACTAGACGTGATGGCAGCTGACCTTATAGGGCCTTTTGAAGTAGAATCGATTGATGGAGGGAAATACCTGCTGACAGTGCGTGGCGCGGCTACTGTTTACTCTTTTGCCAAGGTTCTTAAACTGAAGTCAGATGCAAACAATGAGATCATCAACATTATCAATGGTCTTGAACTGCAAACAGGAAAACGACTGAAGACGCTCCGCAGCGACAACGGTGGGGAATTCTCGAACAAAGTGCTAGAAGACTTCCTCATATCAAAAGGAATACGCGCTGAAAAATCCCTCCCATATCATCATTCCCAGAATGGTATGATTGAACGGTACAATAGGAAAATTCAGGATATGGGACGCACCATCCTGATTGACAGTGCACTTCCGAAAACCTTCTGGAGCTATGCTTTCCTTTGGGCTAATCACGTCCTTAACCGACTCCAGAATAGCGCCAGCGGTGACGCTACGCCTTATGAGCGAATGTACCACATCAAGCCTAGGTACGATGGTTTCCGAGTTTTTGGTGCCACGGGTTATATCCACATACCCGAAGAAAAGAGACTTCGACTAGAACCTCCTGCCGTGATGGGCCATGTCATCGGTCATCTAGAATGCAGTAAAGGTTGGTTGCTCTGGATCCCAGAAGACAACACTTTTGCCTCCTCGGCAATGGTCCGTTTTCCCACTGATTTACCTTTTGTGAAGGCACCAGATATAATTGATGCGCAAGTTGAACAAAGCAAGCTTACTGACCCGCCGAAAGCTAACCAAAAGCTATTGATTGACTACATCATGAATCTTATGCAGCTCGGAGATTTTTCAAATGAAATAGAATTTACTAACCAGGAATTAATCATTGATAAGATCCTAGACCTGTGCGAATTTTACTCCATTTCAGTTCCTAAAACTTTTAAGCAGGCGATGAATTCAGACGACAAAGAAGCTTGGTCCAAGGCGATAGCAGTGGAACTGTCGAATCTGGAGCAGATGAGAGTATGGGAACTCCTCCTGAAGCGGAGAGATAAGAAGGAACTGGGTGGTCGATGGGTATTTGCGACGAAGCCGGAAACCGATGGAAATGGTGTACGCTTCAAAGCACGCTACGTGGCAAAAGGTTTTGCTCAAATTGCAGGCCAAGATTTGAATGAAACTTTTGCGCCCACAGCCACTTTTGTTTCTCTCCGCATTCTACTGACCATTGCAGCTGCGAACAAGTGGCCCGTGCATAGTTTTGATTTTGTAGCGGCGTATTTGAATTCACCGATAGAAGAGGAAGTGTGGGTAAAACCACCAGAAGGGATGACCGTCCCAATCGGATACGGGCTGCTGTTGAAGAAAGCCCTGTACGGCACTCGGCAGGACGCAAGGTGTTGGTGGTTGCATTTGAAGAATCTGCTCGACAAATTTGGCTATACTCCTTCTCAATATGACAACAGTCTATATATTCTCCGACACCCTGAAGAACTAGGCGTCATCTGGCTTCATGTTGATGATGGAGTTATGACGGCCTCTTCAGAACGTCTGCTCCTGGAACTGGAGAAAGATTTGAAAGATCTTCTGAAAATCAAGTGGGATAATAAACTGACATCTATTGTAGGGCTCGATGTCACAAGGAGCGAAAAAGGTTTCACCCTGGGCCAGCGGAGCCTGATCGATGGCATCCTTGAAGCTGAATGGGATGGCTCGTCAACATCGAAAACGCCACTACCGCCAGGCTACAACGCCACGACTGTCGACAATGGCGATGAATCCCAATCGACCAAGTACCTTTCGGTGATTGGCTCTTTGAGTTATGTGGTGGTGGGCACGCGCCCAGACATAGCTTTTGCAGTCAATTATTTGGCTAGGTTTTCTGCAAAGCCAGGTATATCTCATTGGAAAGGACTAACCCATCTTGTGAACTATTTAGCCCTGACGCGAGGAGCAAAACTTCATCTTTTTCCCTCTATTGACAACAAACCTTTGAAGTGTTTTTGTGATGCTTCCTGGGGAGGCGAATTCTCCAGGTCATCTTATGGCGTGCTAACAACTTATCTCAATTGTCCGGTTTTGTGGATTTCCAGACGACGGGGGTTGATAAGCGCACGCCAACCCCCCTCGCGCAAGCCAATCCGCACGCCATCTGCAGATTGGCGTGCGCGCCTGCACGCCAACGAAAATTGGCGTGCGGGGCGGCACGCCAATGACCTGCAGGGTATATCCCTGCAGGTTGGCGTGCAGGCCCTGCAGCATTGGCGTGCGGCCACGCACGCCAATTTTCGTTGACGTGAAACCGCACACGCCAATCTGCAGATGGCGTGAGGA